TTATCTTTTAGTAGAACATAGCAAGTACATCCAAGTGTTTATAGGCTGTTGTTTTGGTGACCACTCAGCTTGTGTTGTGAGCATCCAGTCTTTACTGCACCCAAGAGGAAATTCATTTTGGGGGCTTTTTTTCTTCCCTTGGATATCAAGACGTTGTCTGCCCTGGGCATCTTCCAAATTCCTCCCCTTTTTGACAAGTAAATGTTAAGTATCCTTAACGCCATCCTGCTATCTGGTTGCTGCACTCTCTCTGAGCGGTTCAGGAACACAATTACAACCACTCTGAGGTACCAATGCTGTTCAATTTTTGTTCTTGTTACCAGTACTGAGAAATGTGTTCCAGTGGCCCCAGGGTAGATAAATCCAGAGGTAGCCACGGCATAGCTTTAGCAGCAACTGTGAAAAGCAGAAGCTGTGGAGACCTAGCTGGGATCAGCTGGACATGGGACCGTCGTTGTTCTCCTGGTGAGAAACTGAGCTGCATGCAGGCCTCACAGAGCAGGCAGGACTCTCTGGCTGGCCACATCTCCAGTTTGCAAAGCTTCCAGGAAGCCCTGGCTGCTGCACAGTGGGCAGAAGGTGACTGTGAAATCTCACTAGTCTGAGAGAGGTAAGAAGTCAGCCAATGAGACAAAATTATCTTCATAGTTCCTGCTCCCTGTCGTCTTCTAATGTTTCAAAAACAAACAAACAAGCAAACAAATAAACAAACAAACTCAAAAACTAACAAAGCAACTTTTCCCAATTCCCCACCATTGCCCCCAGGAACAAGCCCCATAGGTTTACTGAACCCTTAAGAGAAACAAACATAAGCACCTCTTTGGAAAACAGTGCAGAGGCCCATGGCCATCCCGCATTTCTGAAGAGGCTGTGGCTTCTTTCTGTTCCTGCTGCGCCTGGTAACAGCTCCCCAGGCAATGGGACTCGTGCCATGGGGCTGCGCCAGCACACCCAGCCCTGTGCCCTCCCCGAACCCATCCAGAGCCATGCTTTGTGCTTGGTGTGCTTGGGAGATGCTTAGGAAAACAGAAGCGGCACCTTTACCATGCAGCATTCTGCTCCATAGCTGAAGTGTTGCCAGGTTATCCCCATCTCATTAACATCACGGAGGAAACAGCTGCCACATCCCCATCCCACTTCTTGCCAACACACTGCCACCAGGGCAGGAAATGGTTTGGTAATGAAGCTAGGTAAGGGGGATTTATGTAGATCAGAATTGAGTGAAAATCTCCATTTCCCAGTTGGTTTGGCCCTTATTTACAAAGATCTATTGCTATATGTACATAGAAGAAAGATCTACATGACTGAAAATGTGCTCTGCTAATATTAAAAGGTACACTGTGGAATTTTGCCTAAGGATAAAATGTAATTTTAATTGAAAGCTGCTGTAACTTGATAGGGAATATCAACAACAGTCTTGAGGATCTACTTTAACAAATAGTTAAACACAGAGGCAACTCCCACCACTCTGTCTCTCAGAGCTACATGCCCTCTTTGATCCATCCATGATGCTTATGATTCCTCAGGGACACACACACTGCCAATAGGCAGTGCTCATTAATATTTATATGATGCCTTCCATCTGAAGATGTGCGCTTTGCGATTATTAATTAAAACTATTTCACAAATTCGTGAGATTTAACTCAATTTTTCACAAAACTGAGACCCAGCGAGTTTGTATATCCTGTCATGAGGATGGAATGAGATGAGGAAAGACAAAGCTTGCGAGCATGGACTCCTATCATGCTGTATTTATTTGTATTTCATGGGACAGTAAGATGCACATGTATCTGTAGTACCTTGGCAATACAAAAAAGGTGAGCAAAGGGAACTTACTCCTTTTTGGTTCTTCATACTGTATTTGGCTGCTTTTTAAAAGCTTTTTTAAAAACACAGCCTGGGAATGACTTGCCAGCCATGCAGACAAGGGAATGCGTTAGACTCTTTGCTGGCATGCTGTGTTTTAGTTCCAGTATAAGGACAGACAGAAGAGATGGGGGGGTTATAATCCAAGCCTGACATGGGCACTCCCTTCCTGGTCCTTCCTGGTGCGTATGGAAGGAAAGAGCTTGGCTGAGCGTGACTTTGATAATGGAGGGAGGGCTTGCTACGCGATTAAACCAGTTCACTGTAAACACCTAAGTTGCACAAGTGGCTCAAACTTTGATCTTTTATGCTGAGGAAAAGAAATCTGAGACTGTGAAACCTGCCCTCAGTTACAAACAAGGAGGTGGACATTACTCAAACCCAACTTGGGAAATATAAATACAGATAAATGAGATCAAAATGGAAAAAGCATTTCTTCCTTCCTCATCCTTTGCTGCCTGGTATAGTCTGCATGCACCATGGGCTCCTACTCTGACTTGTCTAGCTCTGTTTATGAAAGCAGGCTCCAATCCCACACCTGAAACGCCCAAATCCAAATGCTCCCAAATACTGTCTGGGATAAGGTTTAAGCCACAGGTGCAATTAAGCTTTTAAGTGGTGAGCCTATTTGGTTAGGGGCACACCTAGAGCCTAAAACAAGCCAAGAGGAAAACGATCAGTCTTTCAAATTGACAGGCGGTTCCCAAAATACTGCTTGAAGGGTTAAGAAGAAGCTACAGCATTCGTAATTCTCCTGGTATTTATTGTAGCATGTATCTGAACAAGTTTTCTGTGAATGCATCTGGCTCCCCTAGTGAAGTGGGTGGGACTTGTTGTCAATTACAAATCTGGCAATGGATTGTCAAAATGATGGTGTTGCTAAGGCCCTGGGCACACTTTTCTTTGCCCTCTTTTCTTTTCCTCACCCCCTCCTTCCCAAATCTGCCTGAGCAAACACTGAGCAAAAGAAGTTTCACAAGAGTGTATGCTGTTAGTCTGGAGTCTCTTTTCCTATTGGCATTTAGAGCTTTGATTAGATTTTTAGAGGAAAAGTATCATAGCGTGTTGTTTGGTACAATATAGATTGAATATTTTACAATGGAAATGTTGATGGACATTCAACAATCATATGGAAAATAATGGGTGTAAGACATGGGATATTCCTTGGCATCCTGATTTCTTTGCACCGTGTCATGACATACAGTTGCACTTGCAATTACTGGGACAACATCAGAGACCTTTGCTTTGCATAGTCTTGAGTTCTCTGGCAAGGATTTAAGAGTGGAACATTAAGATGTGTTAGTGAACATGTCCTAATTAGTATCTACCTTGGCTACCACATGCTTAAAGGCTGTAAGCCTTGCTTACGCTGTGCCTTTCAAACACGTTCAACAATATAGCATTTTATCCTAGTCTAGACTAAGTCTTAAGGGTTACGTTGTCTAGTCAACCAATCACCCCTTTTAATAGGAAAACTGCTTTGCTTCAGGATTGTTTCTGTGCCTGCTTTTTCCTCTTTGCTTTCTCCTTTCTCCTCCTTCTCTCTGCATACCTTCCCTGCAGCAACTCCTGTTCCATCTGCTGTAATGTAAGCATTAACTATTTAATTGCTGATTAGGAAAATCTCATCACGTGGGCTTTGGAATGACACAGGAGTGGGAAGAGTGGGGTGGGGGTCAGAGGAAGGAGATGCGTAAGTTTTCAGCTCTATATCGCAGTCAGCCTGGCAGGGCATTAGTAATTTTTGATGCATGGGGCTGTTTAAAATCTCTTCCATCTAATGGGTAGATCTGTTGAATGGGATTTAGATGTAAACAAGTCCTTGTCATCGTTATCTGCTGAACTTGCCAATTGACCTTGAGTGAGATGGGCTTGGCCTTTCTTCCCTTCAGTGGATAGAGGACAAGTACTGCGACTAACTTCTCAGATTCTTGAATGTAGAAAACATACTTGTGAATGATTAGTGCTTTCCCTGTATGATAAAATACTACATTTTAAAAATCTTGTTCCCCGTGTTTTTGTACCAAGTTGCAGATGGAGAGGTGATCTGCAATTCTCAAAACAGCGAAAGCCCTTTTAGTTCTATGTCCCCAAGCAATCATGTGTGGGCTTTTTCCCAGCTGACTTGTTTCACTGTGTGATGCACATTCAGCTGGTGTCCCCCTTCTCTCCCACTGACATCAGCTATTCTAAGCATTCTCATGTTATCAGCATTTCAGCTCCTCTTTGCATTTGCAGTACCTAGTTGCCACAGCAGCTGTACTCCATAGCATAGTACTGAAGAAAATTTGGCAGAGTCCTGGGGAGACTGTGGGTGATAAAGGGAGAGAAGGTCTGCAGGTGGACTCTGCTGCCCACACAGTTGATCTCTGCCCTGGCTAGATGTAACAGCCTGTTTCTCATTTGGTCTTGCAGAACCAAATGATAAACCAAATGAGTTGATGTGGAGATGGGAGTTGGACCTATTCCTTTCTGTCATGAAAGAGGAAGAACTGAAATATTTTGGTAATTAGAGAACTAATGAAATTACCATTGTAAATGACAACAAAGTGGTATTCTTAGCAATTAACAAAGAAAAGCATTTTAGTCAGACTGAAACTGTCTTCTTGTTCGTATGGGGATTTTATTGCTTGCAGATGTTTAATTTATGTAAGCAATTATTATTCTGGAAAGCTGAAAAATTATTTATATATATGGAAAAAAAATCCTTGTATTTCACTCCAGTCAGGGAGTAAGAACTTGCACAATGCAACCTCAAAGTCCCCACAAAGACCACAACTGGCATTTCTGATACTTTCAAAGAGTGGATGGGTCTACATGTAGGAGAGCACAAAGGAGAGGGTAAGCATATGTATCGGCAAGAAAATAAAGGAAAACATACCTTTGTCAAAAGAGACACAAATGTGCCAAAAAGCTTGTCATGCTGTCTGCTTTCATAATAAACAATCCCCACCTCCTTTTCCTCATTGCCATTCCAAAGAAGTCCAATTCCATTTAAAAGACACCCTTAGAGATCACGTGCCAACAGGCCAAAGCTGCTAGCCCTTCTGCAAAGGCAGCTCAAACTACTGAAATAAAGCAATCTAAATTGAAATTTTAAGTATTAAATTCCCAAAGCAGCTGCCTCCCTGACATCCTGGGTCAGACTCTGATTTCATTTTTGCTTATGCTAGATAATATCATTGCTACAGTGAACTGAAATCAGGGTCTGCTAATCTTCACTTTGGGTTGCCCATTGGTAATCCATGTGTTTTCTGTTACTTTTGTTGGAGCAGACCCACCCTCTCCCTTTAGACTGCAGTTATTTATTTGGCCTATTTTTTGTCTGCTGGTCATTTGAAACTATACCTCTTGCCTATCAGCAACAGTTGTTTTGCTAAGTGACTACCTAAAATGAGAGTTCCTTTTGCAAATGTGTATTTTAGACACTGCCACCAGAAATTCAGTGGTTCCCTTCCCTCCCTGCCCCTCCCATCCCCTTCAGCTGTTTCAATTTCAGGACACATGGCTTAAATAAGCGTATGCACAGAGTTTGCAAATGGCTTGGATGTCAGGGGAAATTGGATCACACAATGAAAGATCAGAACCCAGCCATCAATTCGTACAACAGGACTTTGCAGCTTCCTTGTGTTCATTGTTGTCTCAGCATAACATCTAGTGAAGAGCATTTCTCACGTGCCCTCCCTTAAAAATGGTAATGCAACTGAAATGAGCAGGTGGAGGAATGTCACCATTTGGCTGATTGTCAGCCTTTGCTTTCTGTGGTACCCCCCAAGGGCTGTGGGTATCGGGGTGGAGAAGGGCCTGCACACCTTGTTGTGCCTTCTTGCTTACGTTGGAGAATCTCCAGCTTATCCTGCCAGTGCAGTGACTGCATGTGGAGGAGGGGGAGAGGTTGTGTTGCAACCTCTGAGAAAATTAGTTGTCTCTATTTTATCTTTTGCAGCTGCAGCACTTTTTTTTCCCCCTCATCACCCCCTTCTCCACCCCCTGTGCAAGTAGTATGGTATGTCTGAACCATATCCTTCAAAACCAGTTTTCTAAGCAGATTAGATGGGTAGCAGAGACAGCTATGCAATCAGGCAAAAATGTGCACTCAAGCCTTCATTTTGTGCAGTGGCTGGAGCAGTGTCTACCACCTGGATTTTTTTCTTCATTCTCTCCCTCTCCTGTTATTGCACAGTGCTGTGTTATGTTGCTGTTGTAGTATTTGAAGTATGTTGCTTAAAAATAAAATGCTCATTCTGGTTTATTAAATATATCAAAAATAGAGAGGGGAATGAAATTGGTCTCTGTGGTAATGTTCATTAACATGAAATCAAAGCATACTCCCTGGCTTCGCCATGCAAAGTGATATTTTCTCCAACTAGCTGTGCTCAGGGGTAATCTGGGGATTATCTCAGGCCTTCCAACACCAGGCCTCCTCTGGCTGCTCTGGAAAACCAGCGGCTAAGTTTACTGCTCTCTGAGTTCAGTATGCTCTTGTGGACTGCAACTGTGAGTGAATTTGGTCTCTTGCTACCTCATATCTCTCAGTGCTCCCTACTAGTCTTGTTGCACGCTAGGAATCTGACAATAATGGTCTTCACCTGCTTTGAGATATCATGAAAACTGTTAAGCATTGGTGTTAGTTTCACGTCTGGTCTCTTGTAGGACAACGAGCTGAATTTAGGGCTAAGCTCTTCGCGCAAGTTTGGAAATCTCAGAGCTCCTTCAGTGTGGGTGGAAAATTGGGATAGGTTAGTATACTCAGTGGCAGATCTGAGGAAAAGAGAGTTGAGTAATCTTTGGCTTTCTTCCAGGAGAGGAAACGAAGCAAAGTGTTCCAGAAGCCATTTGTAGCTTCTTTGGAGGACAAAAAAGAGCCCTGAGCAAAATGATCCAGAAATGTTTTTCACCTGTGTCCTGAGAAACATGGTGCTTAAGAGGAAGGAGAGACTCCACTGATTAAACTAGAAAAGAGAAAGCTGGGATTGAACTTTGGGAGGAGAAGAAAGAAGAGAAAATGAACCCTTTATTTCCCACATAACTCACAGGAAGGGAGGAAGAACAGAAACACACACTAAAGTGTGTGGTACAAAAGAATACCAGAAGCCCAGACAAATGAGGTTATACTTGAAGTCTTGATAGGAAAATGAGCTTTAACGTGTTGTCATAATGCATTTGTTTACCTTCTGCTGATTTCCCAAAAGAACTACTTTCAGAAGTTGTGAAAATTTCAAGATTGGATCTTACTGGCATAAAGGGGGGAGAAAAAGTGAGTGGAAAGCTAATTGGATGTATCAACCACAGAAGTGATGAGATATGACCATAAAGAACTCTGGTTTTAAAACACAAGTAAAGCACGACAGACACTTTTCATGCTGGAGTCCAGCTTCTTTGGTTGCACAGCTATCCCTATTACAGGGGCAACTTTTAGCGAGTTCCCACCACAGCCACGCACCATCTATTTGAATCTTTCAGAGAAAAGGTTATTCCCCTTTTATTAGGTGTGACAGATTAATGTCTTTTAGGGCAGATCACTGTTGGGCTAAATCTTTATTTGGTTATGATTCCATTTAACTGTAAAGCAGTCAGAAGGTTATGTGTTTTAGAAAGAAGTTTCTTGCAGTTTCCAACACTGAAGCTACCGGCGAAGTGCTTCTCTTTTCTCAAAAAGTAAATCAAAGCCACAGAAGCACATGCACTCAGCCTTCTCACAGGTACACCTACCTAAAGTAAAAACACGTTACAAGACAATCGCTATAGATTCTGCAGCAAAACTGCTAAATTAACTTCCTGTGAATGCACACTTCACCTCACAGTGAATCCTTCCCCTTTGTTTGGTGCATGAGTGGGTGGCACTCCAAACATCTGGGGCAGAATTCAAAGCCTTCAGCTCCATCAGCACTTGTTTCTGCCTAACTGGTGTAAGAACCATGCCCACTCCTCAGCTAGAAGCAGCAAGATTCAGACATCTGTTGCAAAACCTCTACTTCAATCCTTGTTTGAGCTAGACATTACACTTGGTTGATGAACTCCACCCTGCGGTTCTTGGGTCATTGCAGGAGCTGTGTATGAGGCAGAGGGGTGCTGATATTGCTGTAATTTGATTTGAGTTTTCCTTTGGAGTGGCTTTTTCGGGGGGGGGGGGGGGTGGGAAACAGTTTCCTTGAAATAGCAGGTGTTTTTTTCATAGAAAAATCTAATTCTAGACTTCTATTCATCTGTGGAATTAATAAACATGCTCTTTAAAAGAAATATTACACTACTGGGTCTTCGCTAACTGAATGGGAATACCTCCTTATTCTGCTTTTCTTTAGCAAGTCTAAAAGGTTTGACTCAGAATCTGTTCAAAAACTTGTGCTGTATTCATAGCAGTGCACAGCTGCTCAGAGAGCAGTGGTCTGACAGACCCATCCTCTTCTGGACTCCAAGCCTTTGCCTTCCCACATGCCACTATGGCTGTCTCTGGAACCATGGGGCACCTCTGTGCTATGGCAATTGCCTTCCATGGAGACTGAGCCGGAGGTGCAAGCAGGGTTATCAGGCTGTCAAACTGCAATGACAGTGAGGCTGTGCACAACGGTGGGAATAAAAACAGTTCAAGCATACTGACTCAGAATAAAATTTCTTGGGTCAGGCCACCAAACCAAAATGAGCCAATGCTGGTTTCAGTGAAGTTAAAATATTCCATTTCAAATGGAGACAAATGCACTGAAGTTCATGAGTTCATGAATAGGTTTCTCCTTTTTTTTTTTTTTTAAACTTGTGAAGTTCAATCTATAATGAGTCTCTAATTTCAGTTTTTCTCCCTGATTTGGGATGAGAGCAAATGCTGAAATACCAGACTGAATTTTTTCCTGCCCAGGGAGAAGGCAGCTGATGCGTATGAGCACCTATTTTCAGGGTTAGTACAGCTGACTCTGAAGATTTGCACATTGGAGCGGAGAAGGTAATGGTGAGCAGATAGATGATGGGGCGGGGGAGTGGGCAGACAGCAGGAGATGGGAATGAGAAGCTGCGACATGGGCTATAACAGAAGAGAAAGGAGAGAGCAAAAGTTTCTGCTTAGCTGCCTGGGCTGTAGGAACTTCTGCATTGCTCTGGCGTTTCACTATTGGCCAGTGCCCAGAACAGTACCTTCAGTGCTGCTGAGCGACCAGCAGAAACGCAGCCGGTGCCACACTGAGGGTTCCCTGCAGTGAGGATGAGAGGCAGAGACCCGAGCTCAGCCTGGCAACCATCCTGCAGTGCCATGCAGTTTCAATTCTGCTTTACGAAGCAGCCAAGCCCTTCCACACTGATAGAGCTGCGGGGCAGCAGGACCGGACTGTGAGTGCGCTGCTTGGGGCACCACAGCCCTTGCAAGCTAGATAGTCTTTCTGCTACTAAATCTTTTTTTGCAAATGGAACAGAATACTCATCTCTGGTATGCCTGAGAAGAAGCACTGGTTCCTATTCCTAACACACTGCAGTGTTTATTATGCTGATGATTTTATTATTTGACAAGATTCTTAACTTTTTTTTTTAAGTATGCCAAATTGATATACTCTGTCCATCAGCAATGCCTTTCTGGAATGAGTAGCTAATTATAGAGCAGGACTTGTGAAAAGACGAACCCGTGTTGTGCACAGAACAGGTTTCTCCAGTATTTACTGCCTATATTACTGGTCAAGCTTCCCTGTAAGTAATAGTCAAATAATGGGCCTGGGTCCTGTTGTGAATGGTTTGAGCCTGTGTGGTCCTTCTTTGTTTGAACAGCCCGTGGTTCCTGAAAGCTCATGCATGCACTGTTCTGAGCAGCAGAGCCCGGTGGTACCAGCTGCTTCTGACTAAAACAAACATTCGCACGTGACATTTAAAAAAAAAAAATCCAATTTCAAAAATGTATTTGGTTTCCCTTATTCCCTCATTTTTCAGCCCTTTTTATATCATTGGAAACATTTAGAAAATTCAGCTTTTATTAACAAGCTTTTTTTTTTTTTTTTAAAAAAAGTAAAGCTTGAAGAGCAAAGAGAAATCTTTCCTTCAGAAATAAAGAAGCAGCCAGTGTTTGGAAATACTTTAACAATAGACCATATGGGAGTCCCAAACTATTAAGCTTCATTATTCAGAAGGCAGAAAATGTGGTTTGATATTCAACTGATATACAGCACAAACGAGAGCCACAAACTCGGCTCCCTTGAGCTGGGATTCAGATGTTCTCCTGAATATAATAACTAACACTTTGGCCTAGTTCCATAGAATGCATCCAGCCTGCTGGTCACAAGCCAAGAAACTGTAGGCTCTTTTTTTTTTTTTTGTCTTCCCCTCTCTTCTCCGAAGTACTTTCCTGCCAGCATGAGCTTTTGACCTGATTATAAATTTCCTGATATTAGATGCATATAGAAAATGGGAGGGTGCTAGTAGTGCACAGCAGTGGAGCTGTGTGTGCGTGTATGTGCATTTGGTTTTCCTCAGCTTTAACAATAAAAATGTTTTCTCTCTGAGATGTGCTGCTGGTCATAGGTGGGAACTTCTTTGTTCCTGTTTCACTGTTTCTTATAGCTTCAGGAGCAGGTGAACATCTTATGGAGTTACTGTGAAATGATGCCAGAGACCATAAGAGTGAAGAATTTGTTGGATAGAGAGACTGGAAGTGATTTCAGTTGTTTCATTGTTATTGTTTTTCCTGATCTGTCTTGTGTATATTTATAATTGTCCTTTTCCCTTTCTTTCACTTCTTTTCACTACTTTTTCACCTATGGAGAAAAGAACCCATAAAAGTTGCTTATAAAACACTATGTACGTGAACTAAGATTGCATGTCTGCAAGGACAGGGAGAAAGTTACCCAGATACCATGACCAAGCATTGCAGGCTGGATCACCTGTTAGGTTTTGACAAAGGATCCCTGATTCCCAGTGCATGGGATGGAGCAGCTTTGTCAGTGTGAACATAGGAGGTGAGAGATGAATAAGAAATTACAGGGGTACAAGAAATGGTCTGGTAGATATGGCAGATTAACAAGATTTTTCTTGGATTTTTGTGCTAAATGTATACTGTGTATAATGTATATCCATGTATATCTTTAAGTAACATTCTGCCCAGTCTTGTGTCAGTCATCCTTACTAGGTTGGCTCTTATCTTCTCTAGCATCTCAGAATCTGAAATCAAGCAAGGAGCCTTCTCCATGGATCTGTGATTTCCCCTGAGTAAGCTGGAAGCATCCAGCATTAAGCTACCTGGCACTCTACTCTGTAAATGTGATGAACCCAATCAAAACTCTTCACTTTATGTTTAAGTCCAGGATCGCCTGTAATGCAGAACACTACAGAGTATATAAATTATGCAGTCTGCTTGTGAAGTTTAGTTTTGACTTCTGCCTTTCCTTCATTTCTCTTTCCAATTGTTCGTGACAGTTGAAATTTTCCATGTTTTTGTTTCAAGCTATGTGCAGGTTTTTTTCCTTTGGGGAAAACTGCAGCAAAATCAGTGTAGTACAATTTTCAACCTCCTTTGACTTGCACCTACATCTGTTTGGTGTGGGGAGTGGAACTTTATCATAAAACTGTTTGATTTATTTAATGTATTCAATAAGCATCCATGGTGTGCCAGGTACTTTCTCAGCCTTTTTGGATGAGAAATCTTGCAAGCTAAGAACTTAATAAACAAAGAAGCTACAGAACTCAAATCTTCACTGGTGTTAAAGTCTCCATATATCTAAGGAATAAACTGAGTTTGAACAAAGCAGATCCAGAGACTTGTAAGGAACAAAATGTCACATGCAAGTACTGATGAGATCTAACATTATAGGAACAACTATCACGTGTCTGAGTTACAACAAATAGTTTAGTCCATACAGCAGCTCTACTTCTGTTGCAACTGCTAACCTATTTCTATTGATGAATCCATTACTGTGATTACATGATGCTGTCTAAGGCCACATCTAAACAGTGTCATTGATTCAGACCAAGGTAAGTGTATGCGAACTGCTGAGTCACGACCTGAACCTCTGATTGATCACCTGAGGTGAGCCATGAGTCAGCCAGAGGAGCACAGCTGAAGGCAATTCAATTCACCTGTGCTGCCGGAAGGGGTGGAGCCAGGCTGCACCTCTCCTAGACCTATTGAAGAGCTGGCTATCAGCAGGGAAGGATCTTGTCTGGAGATCCCTCTTTCTGGTGTTTTGTGGTGAGCCCAACTAAGGGTAAGCCTTCCATTTATTCTCTCTTGTTATCATAGTTCACTTCGCTTAACTCTCTTGTTTATTTTGTGATTGTAACATCTTGATATCCATTGATTATACAGTTAGTTACAAGTCTGAATGGACAAGCTGTTCCCGATTAACTTCATCATCCTAACAAAGAGGTGATTGGGAATGATTAATAGGGAATAGCTGTTCTGGAATGATCCTTTTTTAAGACAAACCCTTACTCTTTCTATGATTGCATTCTAGGAAGCTATTCTGTACTGAATCAGCATGGGATAGAGTGCCTAGAAGATGTTCAGACCAAGCACAGCTAGCGGTGAGTGGGGCAATATACACTGGGATGCCCTGTTGCAAAAATGAGTGAGCAAGAGAGTAGCAAAACTGATTGCTTGTGCATCTCTCCAGAAGGCAACTGAAAGTATTCTATCAAAACCACTGTACAAAGGCCTCTCCCTTAGCGGGGTGAAGTATTTGCTACCTATCACAATCTGAGCACTAACTCCATGTTATCGACAGAAAGCAATTTCAGTTTATAACAACTTTAGTTTATCACAACTGAATTAAGTATTGAGGTGTATGCCTTCTTTCATTGTGTATACTTACGATATTATGTGGAGAGCAATCTGTCTACCAAACCAATCTCATTATTCAATTGTGGGAAAGATAATTTGTCAGAGGAAAACTTATTTTTTTAAGGTGGACAGAAAATTCTTTTAGTTCAAAAAACTGTCTTTTTTGAGTATTACTTACACTAACAAGCCATTAAATAATATTAAAAAAAAAAAAAAAAAAAAAAGTAAAACCCAATAATTTTTGAAGCCAAAGGAAATTTTCCTTTACCATAACATTTTGTGCTTGACCCTGCCAAACAGGATGGGCTGGAGCAGAGGTGGTACTTCTGTAATTCAATGCATTGTAGTTGTGATATAGTTGCTGCTAATTCATAGCTCTCCTGACTTTTGGAATTTGTCCTTTCTCTTCAAAGGGCAGGTGGTAGGATGGAATGGAGAACCTTTGGATGTTAATCCACCCCGGCTTTCTTAAGCCTCCTACTTAAATCATTATCTTAATGAATCACCATTGCTGCTATCTTCAATGCTACTCAGGAACTTGCATATTTTAAACAGCCTTGGGGAAAGACCTTTTTGCCTGCAAAGTGCTCTGCTACTTGCATTTAGATGTTGCCAGGATAGGTACCTTGGATACTACTTTCTGCCAAACCCAGTGGATAGATCATGGGGCCTAGTGTATCACCATGTGTGCCTGCCAGGCAGCAATCAGGGCTTGCCTCGGAGAGAGAGATATAACTTTGCTTTCTGTTATCTTTCTCATGGTGTGTTAAAATGCCTCCCAGAAATTCTTAAATAGGGTTAAAAAAAACTTCTCTGATGTTTCTCCCAGCATTTGGCAGCATCTGAGCAGCTACTAAGAAGCTACTAAGAGAAATTGCATCTGAGCACTGTGACTGACAGTGCTGTTGTGAACAAGTGATGAACACAGCAGTATGCAAGATTTTGATCTGCAAGCGTATCTGTCATTAATTTTAAAGGCTTTAGGATCCATGGTAGAAGAGAAGGGAGATAAGCCAAGCAATTATATGGAGCAGCTATATTTGGGGAAGCATGCCTCTTGGGATTAACACGGACTCATGAAGTTGTGTAGTGAGTTGTGCATCACCGTGCCAAGTCTGACTGATTTTGCAGGGCACTCATTAGAAAGGGGATGCCTGGGAAACTTCTAATGGCTTGGATATTTGCTGGAATGAGCTTGAGAACATTTCCTTGGTTGGGAAGTAGATTTCATGCATCAATTTTTCTCCCTGCCTGCTAGAAGGAATTATGTACTACCTGCTTGTCTGGTTTGTGGGGCTTCTTGAGTAACAAATGGAGAAAGGAGCTGTGAGCTTCAAGGAGCTGCAAACTGGCATGCTTTTGGGAAGACTTCCAGGAGTGAGGAAGTGGAGAAAGCAGGACCTTGAAAACTCTGAGTTTCGTTTCTGCCAAGTAATATGGGAGAAGAGTCTCCTTGTGGGGAAATTGGAAATGATCTCACAGAGGAATAAGGGATGGAGGAGAAGAGGCCAGAGTTACCTCTCAATATGCAAGAGGGTGTTTGCCTTCTGCTGCTGCATGTGCAGCCCTAAGCCTGGTGTAGCCACAGTACTGAGCAACTGCAGACCAGGAAGTGGAGGGGTGGTGCGTCCTTTGTTGATTTTTTTGGTAGATATTTGACAGTACAGGAGGAGCTTTATTTTGCTGGTTAAGTGGACATTGATTAAATAACCTGCTAAGTGGCATCAAAGATGAACTTAAACTAGAAAAAAAAAAAACAACAGTAAGTAACAGACTTATCACCTTTTTTGTTATTATTTGTTTTTAGCAAGGTAAGGAAAGCAAGGTTTGTTGGAAGGTCTTACATAAGAAGGTCAACTAACAGAGTGGCAAAATCAGGTAGGGACACGAGTGAAAAAAATACATTCAATTTATACATAAATAGCAAAGAATTAAGTAAGTGCAAGATGAAGAGACCCAATAAAGGGCAAAACTAGGGAATATTTTCAGGAGGACGTGTTCTTCCACAGGCTATAGAGCTGAATACAGTAAAGCGCTGGTTGAGTTAGTTGGTGTTGGCCAGTGGTGACAGCAGGAGCTCAATCAGAACTGGCTCTGTGCTGTGCTGTTCTCTCCCAGGGCCAGAGGGACCACCTGAGCCCCTGGGGAAGCTCCCGGTGAGCACCCCATGTGCAGGCTTTGGTCTGCAAATCAAATCAGAGGTAGTGACGGAGAGCATGTGGTGGGTGGTGGCAATTCTAAAAAATTCGTGTCTGGATAAAAGTGTAATTCTTTAAATTAGACAAAGAAGGCTTCATGTGAGCTGAGGGAAGTTAGGAAGGATCTCGGCATGCATCCTTAGACAGATCATGGCAAACTGTTTCTTCCACGGCAGTTCCAGAATGCCATTATTTTCCAAGTTCTTTTTCCTACTTTAGGCCCCACATATTTAAAAATAAAAGGATACCCATACATACAAAAAAAAAGCTTTTTTTTTTTTTTTTTTTTTTTTAAGCTGTCTTGAGTTTGTAAAAAGCTAAGAGATCTATGGTAGCAGTTGCGGGGGGATGTAATTTTTCCCTTAGCATCTCAGCAGAGTGTTTTAGAGCTCTCTCTGAAGTGAATCCCCCAAAACATTCTTACAGAGACTGAAGGCCAGCCGGGAGGAAATACTGCACTGTGAGCCATCAGCAAACTCTCTGGTGTTTACCCCATCTGGTAAACCAAATAGAAACTACCAGTATGCTGCTGTCTGAATTCACAACGTGCTAATATTTTACACGCTATCCAACTCTGATTGCCACATCTCAAAGGTAGTAGAGCATCCAGAGATTGTCAAGGATGGATCTCAGGTCAAGCAACAAGATTTCTTTCTTCACCACAGAAAAGAGATGACTTATTATAGAAATTGCAGCTGTTTTATGCTTTTGTGAACTGTGTGAGGAAGGAGAATGATTCTTTGAAGTTCTTGTGTTGTCTTAACTAAGCTGAATCAAAGCAGGCAAGCACAGCACATGCTTTCAAGCAGCAGTTATCATGTGAAACTCATTGTCAAAGGCTGTTATGGACAGGAGAAGTGTAAATGGATGCAAAAATCGATGAAAGACAGATAAATTCTTATTAAAAGTGATGGCCAGGATTCAACTTCAGGATCAGCAAATCTTTAACAATTGCAGAGGATTTAAGCAGGGAAAAGGGTGCCCATACTCTACCTTATCAAAATGCATTGTTCTGATACTATTCTGGCTCCTCCTGAAGAACAGAAAGTGAATCCTTTGCTCTATTACAATATGGCTATTTTTATAGTTAAAAAGTAGAAGGGAAACTAGCCACACTGCAGTGCAGTGAACTAGTTTTGTCTTGCACTCTAACAGGGTTGAAAAGCACACCAAAATGAAGAGAACTAGCAGTCAAATGCCTCCTGATACCTTAAAAATCTTTCTGTGTTATGAGATGTCTCTGCAGCTTGCTTACTTCATACAATTTCTGACTTAACCGAAAGCTGTCTAGTTAACAAAGGAGTGAGTCACTACAATGTTTCTAGTTATTTTTCCTACCCTTGTGTTTGCTGCTACAGTTGATCAGGTTGCCTGAGTATGTACCCAATGAGATGCCATGTGGACTCCTGTAGCAGTGACACTTTTGGTTGGAAGCTGAAGATGCTTTGGGGAGCACAGCAAGGAAAAGGAGCAGTGAATTGGGAAGGATATCGTAAAATCTCTTGTATATGTATACAAGCAGGAAAGTCTAATACAGAGCATATAGTTGTGACCGCAGTGGCAACAGTTGGTATTTTGGAGTTGAAAAAATCAGTTTTGTATTTTGCTAAATAACTACTGTAATATAGCAGTACCTCTTGGCAGGGAAACCAATGTAATGTACAGCACTAGAGCATGGTAGAGCAGTTGGAGAACTGTCAGAAACCCAGCAGCTTGGAATGCTTCTACTTGAACCTGGGTGCACACTGCAGCATGGCACTCCTCTGCCCCAGTGTGTGCAGACTGCAGCACAAGCTGAGCGATGCACCTTATACACAGTGCAACCTGGCTCCACAGAGGAAGGCAACAAGACACTCTAACACAAAACAGCAAGAGTTCCTTACTTCTATTGAGTTTTGACTCCTTTGGGGAGTTTTGTGATTTCTTTTGCATCTCATGGAGCCCTTCTGAGTCTGCATGCTAGGCATCTCTGGGGCAAAATTCTGTAGCTGTCAGCTGTCATTGCCTGCCACATCCAGTTACCTGGGGGCATCAGGCTACCAGAGAGGCAGCAAACAGCTTGGGCACTACACCAAGCTGCAGAAAAACTGCTTTGTCTGATCTGATTGGGCAAACAAGGAAGTAATGAGTCTCATTTTTATTTATTTATTTATTTATTTTTAAGTTTGTATTTCCAGAGGGCTTTGGAGCATGGCACTGGCTTTTATTCCAATGTTTAATTGTTGGATAAACTTAGCAGTCATACTTGTGGTTTTTAAGCCTCTCCCCTTTTCCTGCTCCCAGCATTCTCCTTGCCTTCAAATCCTCTGCCTTGTTCCACATATTGCTACTGTAAATTGCTTGGGATGATGGGTCCAGCTCCTGACTTGCAGTCTCTGGATGCCATTAACAAGTAATTGCTGGGAAAGCTTGTTTAAACATCAGATTCATACATTATTTTTTAAATTGCCCTTTGAGGTGGCTGAAAAGCTACTGAAAAATTCTTTTCTTTTAATATTGGACAAGACATTTCATTAGGGAAGGGAAATGGTGCTCTTACCAGGCTG